TTCTGTGCCATAGCTAGTTGCAAAGTTCGCTAGCTAACTGCAAAACTGCAATCATAGCTGTAAAACTTGCTGACCAATCATTCGCATGCTGACCTACTGCTGCTCAGCAGATCATTCGCATCATCCCCTGCAACCATTCATTTCCCTCCCTTACATCTGTCAGTTCCAAGCTTTCGGCAAAAAAGTGATCTCAAAATTGTCTTGAGATCTACTGAATGCATTTCAAATAACCAATCTGGCAAAGAAAAAGATTCGACTTTAAATTTGGCGCCCAATGAATGTGAAGAAAAGAAAAGAAATGGGCGGTGCTTAGAGTGAAATGAGAGAAACAGAGAAAAGGGGGGAAAGAGGGAAGAGTACGAGAAGGAGATCCCCTTCCACTCATTCACTTCGAACCAATTCAATCCATTCCTTCAGTACCAATCGATTTTTCGAACATGGTGAGTTTTATTTTGTTTACAAATTTTAATAACTATTCATTAGATCATGATTAGTAGGCATATTATGAGCAGAAACCAATGAGCTTTTGTTCAGCTCGATTGTTCTGTTCTTTTGTTCAGCTCTTTCTTCAATCTACCTGAATATTTGAAATCCAATATACTGTGAAGTAAAATATTGTGAAATAACTCTTTAAATTTAAGCTTTACTCAAATCAATTGTTTACAAACGGTTACAAACGTTTGTTTACAAACGCAGAAGTTTAAAAATATTGTTTAAGGAAGAATAGAGGCTTATAAACTCATTAAAGGCAACAATCTGTAAATCTAATCTTGTCTTTAATCTTTCCTACTAATGAATTCTAATATTCTAATTCTTTCAAACGTTTGAAATTGAAATCAAGTCTTTTTTTCTGCTTCTCTTTGCGCATTCGCTTTTTTCTAGTTGTCCCACTTTCCCGCGAAATGATTTGAAATGCGATAAAACGATTTATAACGTGTAAACTTTTTGCACAAATCTTGATAGGATTATAAACTTTAAAAGTAGAAGTATTATAGTATAAGTAGCTAGATTATTAGCTTAAACTATAAATAAATATACTGGATTGGAGGCTAGCGCTTGAAACTACTTGACAACACTGCTATTTGTACTGTATTTGATTTGTTTTGGACCGGTAAATCTACAAAACAAATTCGACTTTTCTATAGCCAAATTTAACGAAGATTCTAATGAAACCAACCAAAAGTTCATTCAGCTTCTAGAGCTCGAGTTATAGACCATCTAAGTTGATCGACTTTTCTAGGTAGGTAGTCCAACTTTGACTCAAATTTTCTACATCTTTTTACACTAGAGTATACAAACTAAATTGCAGTTTTCTATAACCAAATTTCATGAGGATTATTTTAAAACCAATCTCAAGTCGATCTAACAATTGCAAGTCGAGTTATAGAGTAAAATAGAGAAGTCGCCAAACTCCGAGACTCACCACGGAATTTGGAAGGGTAACGTAGTCTATGCCAGCATAGCCTATTTGTACTACAGTTGATTTTAAAAGATTTCAATTCTACTACAGCATTTTTTTCTACTCAATTCTTTAGCTCTTTAATCCTTTTAAAATTTTCATTTCCACACTTCTTCCATTTTCCATTTGAAATCCAATCTTAATAAGCTCATTTCCTCAAAAATTCCTCTCATTCTACAAAAATGCAAGAGTTGAGAACGTGTAAAGAAACGAGAAACGAGGAACGACGAAGACGATGTTTGTCCCCATCGATTCCCTTTTTCGAGGCGCTGTGCAGAGCCTCAGGCCTCAGAGCCGTCTTTAGAAAGCCTTTTTTTCGAACGAAGACCCTTTGAGTGACCCCAAAGCTATTGCGAAATGCATTCGAAAAAAGAAAAGACAAAGAGAAGGTCCCCATTTTGCCCGTCGACCCCTCATTTCATTCCATCCATTCCATCCATTCCCTCAACCAGTCGATTGGTGGATAGACTGCGAAATAGCCCTCCCTTTCTCCTATAGAAAATTGACTATCGTTGCTTTTGCATTTTTATAAGTGCCTTGGGAAAATGTAAAAAGTATAAAGAGTATTTGTGGGAGAGAGATTTTGAACGTTTAAAAAGCTGATGATTTAAAAGTTTTGAGTTTTGAGCTTTGAGTTAGCTTTGAATTAGTGAAATTCTTTAGTAAATCTACCATAGCCCATACGATATCATTTTAATAATTTCTAATCTTTAAAAGCTTTCTAAACCGTCTCTAAAGTCAATTGTTTACTGATTTCAAAAGCTTTGGCATTAAAACGCTTTGGGGAAACTTGCAAAAAAATGGATCAGAAATGAAATTATACTTTAAACAATTTAGAATTTGGGTTTTTTTATTTGAAACCGATCAGACACTAAGTTTTCCTTGAGCCAATGAGAATAAGTTTCTGAAATCTTTTGATAAACCTTGTTCAGTAAAACTAGTAGTAAAACTTTCAGTAAAACCTTTCTCCGCAAGCTTTTCTCCAAGAAATAACCAGATCCTCTTGACTCGTGCACGCAAATCACCGCTTTGAGGGGTTTTTTAAAGAAAGAAGAGACGAAACAACCGTTTGGGGTCAACGGAGAACAAATCGATCCACTCACTTTACAGAAAAAAGGAAACAAAAACAATAAACGCCGATAAGCGATGATTCAGGCGATTTTGAAGACAAATAAAAGAAAAAAAAAAAAAGAAAAAGCAAAACTTTCCTTCCCATGCCGGGAATCGAACCCGGGCCGCGTGGGTGAAAACCACGAATCCTAACCACTAGACCACATGGGAGGCCGAGCGAGGGTCGGAAAGGGGGCTTGATAAGTGACAGGTCAAGTGATCTTTCTGAGCCACTGGTAAAATCTTTCATGGAATCTTTCTAAAAAATAAACCAGACAGAAGTCAAGATGAATTTCAAAATTTAAAGAAAACTTATAAGTTGATCCATTGGCTTGTCGTTTTCTGCTTGAATTCAATCCTGATCCTGATCCTGACAAGCAAATTTTTCACTTAAACCAGGAAAAGTGATCTTTATTCTGAAAAAAGTACCATAGCTTACTTAAAATTTGAGTTATAGCAGTTTTATAGCAGTTTTATAGCAGTTATAACCGTTTTACAGCAGTTTTTATTCAGCTGACTACTTCAAATACCAGATTTTATCATTTCCATCCTATGGAATCAACTGGAAAAGTACTGTAGTTTGCTTAAAGTTCAAGATTGCTTAAAGTTCACTTTAACCTTAAAGTTAAAGGTTAAAGTGCTTAAAGTTTTTAAAGTTTAAAGCAACTTTAAGCTTAAAGTTGCTTAAAGTGCTTAAAGTTCTTAAAGTGCTTAAAGTTTTTGAGCGTACGGATTAGCTAAGCTTTAAGCATTATCAAATCAATACTGAATACAAGCTTTATAAAGGATTCAACGTCATTCACCGTTTACTAAAAAAATTCCCATCACACACTAAATAATGATTCTTCCATAAGCTCCCCTCTCAACCACACCTGGACACCCAATAAAAGAACCTTCATTATAACGATAATTCCCCTTTTCCCCACACAAATCCACCCAGATAATACCAGCTATTGAAAAGATTTTCCCAAAGAAATTTGCTGATATCACTATGGTTACTAGAGGGTTTTTTTAGAAAAGAAAGCAAGTGTGAAATTATCAAACAAGGCAATTCATTCACTAATTAGTATCAGTATTCTTTTTCCTCACTCATTAGCAAATGAATTCTCTGCGAGCCGCGTTTCCGGTAGGGTAGGGTTTTTTGTTGTTGAAGAGTTGTGAAGTGAACTTGTTTGCAAATGTTTTAAATATTGATTTTAAAGTTTTAAAATCATTGGAACTAATGATAAAACATGATAAAACACACTTTGTTAACAATAGAACAAATCGATCTCTAGAACGCATCGAAATCTACCGTAATCTTCAGCTTTAGTGACCGATACGTCGTTATTTAGTAGGTCTCTAAGACGCATCTAAATCTATCTTAATCTTCAGCCAATATGGCATTATTTTGTTATATTAGACGATCCCTAGAATCCACCTAAAGCTACCGTAATCTTCAGCTTTAGTGGCCGATAGGTCGTTGTTTAGAAGCTCTCTAAAATCCACCCAAATCTACCGTAATCTTCAGCCAATACAGTATTATTTTATTACAGTAGATGATTCCTAGAATGCACCTAAAGCCACCGTGCCCTTAGCTCAAATATTTTATTTTACTAGAAGATCGCTAAAACAGATCTACAGCCACCATAAATTCCAGTAGTCGCTAGATAGATTCATATAAATCCATCAAAAGCTACCGTAATCCTAAGTGCTGACGTATCGGCCACTAAAGCTAAAGATTACGGTAGATTTCGGTGCGTTCTAGAGATCGATTTGTTCTATAAGCTAACTTACCGGTTATTTCAATTCAAATTTTACTGTTTAAAGCTGTTTATTACAATAGACGATAGCTAGAATGCATCGAAATCTACCGTAATCTCCAGCTTTAGTGGCCGATAGGTCGTTGGACTGTTTAAAGCCTTAGAATTTAGCTCTACTATCCGAATGACCGATTTCTTTTCTTCAAAACATTTTACAACAGATCTCTTATCAAAATTCCCTTTGGTGTGTCACTTCCGCAACAATAAATGACTCGGTCTCCAAAGAGATTTCCCATTAAACGCTTCCAGATCCCGAGAATGGGATTGCGTGTTGAATGGCTGTGTCTGTGAAAGGAATTCATCGCAAATGCATGGAATGCCACTCAGAAATCGGCTGTTTATGTGGATGTGGCTAGTTAGGAGGGAAGCGGAAAAAAATTCGAAGGGTTGGACGACCCTCCTCGCGAAATTGAACCCCAGCTCTCTAGAGAGGTCGCCTGCTGTGCTACTTGAGTGTCCCTTTCTCTAGCGGATCAGTGCACATATCGACCTTGACTCTTCCCTTCCGCCGTTCACCTGATTATTCTTTTCTTCTCCTTGCCGCCTCTTCTTTTTTATAGATAACTGGCTTACTTACTCTGCAGATAACTCATTTCTGTATTCGATTCTTTCGACTATAAAATTCCAAGATGCCAGCTAATGTAAGCGTTTTGATTTATTGATTGTTTACGGGGTTTTCAAGTTGATAAACGTATTATCGAACAATCAATCGATCACTAGACCAAATAAAATCAGTTTTCTAGTGTAGTTCTATGAAAAACTATTGAAAATCCATTTAATCCAAACATTTTTTGAAATTTTACACTTTGTAGCTCAGTCTTTCATTGCTAAAACTACTTGAAAAAGGTATTGTTTATTTCAAAAATCTTATTTAACTACAAAAGCTGGTACTATAAAGTTATACCTCTTTTTTATATTAAATCTAAGCCATTTTTAAATGAGTATGGCTAGTTTAAGGATAAAATATGTTGCATTCGATTTAGAATGCAACATATTTTGCAACGAATGAACTAACGTCCAGTTTGGAATCGGGCTTCCGATTTAGAACTAAAGCAATAAGGCTATTTCTTTCAACAATGAATTATCATTAAGAATCTGAATATAATATTAATGAACTGAAATTATGGCTATGGCTATGGGTATGGCTATGGATGGCTATGGCTATGGCTATGGCTATGGCTCCGCAAACTCGGAGATTTGACCAGGTAAAGGCTATAGCTCAATTCTCTCAGCTCCGACCTTCTTTAAGACTCGGAAACTGGATCGAGCATAGAAGAATAAAGAATCTCCGAGTATTAAAGAAGGTCGAAGCTGAGAGAATTGGGCTATAGCCTTTACCCGGTCAAATCTCCGAGTGTGCGGAGCCATAACCTAGGTAAATAACCACAGTAAATCCTGTGAAATGCAGAAATTTAATTTTAAATCGATCACCCGATTTAGCCTTATCAAATCCATAAGATGCTGATCCAAAAAAGACATTTGAACCTTCTTGCTTTAGTTCTAAATCGGAGGTTCGATTCCGAACTGGACGTTAGTTCTAAATAGCTTTATAAGACGATACCCTTTATCAGACGATAACTTTATAAGAACATACATATTATCAGTCGCATAGAAACCCTCTGACTGACATCACTATTTTGTTCTAATAAAGCCAAATGGTCACAATATCTATTCTCTGAGTGGATCTCCCAAGAGAGGGGAATAGAAGAAAAGGAAGAGAACAAGATTTGAACATCTGTCCATCCTTTCATCCAAATTTCCCTAGATGGGTTTGTGGAGATGAGATGAGGAAGAACATATTGAATTTCTAAAGGAAATCAGCAAATTGGTACCAATAAGTAATGAGTTGCAATAAAAAGATTCAAAAAATCAATTTTGTTTTCTATTTTATTTATATCTCTCTATAAACCGAAGACAAAACAGAATATCTCTAGCTTTAATCAAACAATGAGAAAGCTTTGAATGGCTGAATACTTTAAAGCAAAGTATATTGAAAGCTACAATACCTTAAACAATATTCGGGGTAGGCTAATTTCCGCTGTTTTATTTTCGCAACAGGGTCATTTGCGCAACTAGCCATAACTTTCTTCTAAGTCAGCCAATCTTTATGATTTTGGTTTCATTTTGTTGCACTTATTTAGATCTACAAAATGACACCAAAAGCAGAAAGATTGGCTGACTTAGAAGAAAGTTATGGCTAGTTGCGCAAAGTAGGCTAATTTCCGATAGGTCGTTTGCGCAACTAGCCATAACTTTCTTCTAAGTCAGCCAATCTTTATGATTTTGGTTTCATTTTGTAGATCTAAATAAGTGCAACAAAATGATACTAAAATCATAAAGATTGGCCGACTTAGAAGAAAGTTATGGCGAGTTGCGCAAAAAATTTGACGCAAAGTAGCCTACCCCATATTCTTATCTTTTCTAAAGTTTTTTGTTTCAGCGTGAAGTAATCTCAATCCACGTCGGACAAGCCGGAACTCAAATCGGAAATGCCTGCTGGGAGTTGTATTGCCTTGAGCACGGAATTCAGCCCGATGGCCGAATGCCGTCTGACAAGGTTTGTAATGTTTTTGAAATTCAAAATTATCCAAACTTTAGTTCCCAATCAAAAAGGTTAAGTGATTGTTTTAGAATTAGTTTCCCACTGAGTGCCTTTAGATTCACTGAAGCAATTCTTGAATTCAATTAACATTTCCATTTTAGCAAGGTCAATCCGATGACTCGTTCTCGACTTTCTTCTCCGAGACTGGAGCTGGACGCCATGTCCCAAGAGCTATCATGGTTGATCTTGAGCCAACTGTGATCGGTAAGTTATGATAAAAAATGGGACTAACTGGGGTGTAAAGCCCCAATTCACGCAGTTCGGGTTAGCAACTTTCCAACCCGAAATTGTAAAATACACCAAAGCTACCGTACTCAAGACGGCGTCTTCCTTTTTCCCTATAAAGTCCCATTCCTTTAAAATTAATTCTTTTAAAGAATCGTTGCCCAGTCCGGCGCTTCGCCGTGTCTTTTGCGCGTGTATGTTCCCCTTTCGCTATTCCCTTATAAAATTCTGTTGATTGTTAAAATCTCCCTCCTTCTTTTATTGTTTTCACCCCTCCTACCCTGTTTCTTTTAAAATTTTTTTAAAAGTTTTAGAGTTTCTGTACTTTTCCTGGTCTTCGGACCCGTGTCTTTCATATCAACGATAAAGTTATTAAAAATCTAACCATCTTTCCTCTATAAATGCCAGTCAATCTAACCCAGCCGCGAATCGTCTTGTTATTCCTCTCGTTGGCTAAATTGAACTTTACTATCCTTTGATTTTTTTGTTTAAATTTGGTAAAAAATTTTTCCCTTATTATTTTTGTGTTTTTTGTGCATAACTATGCATAGTAAAGCATAAAAACTGGTTTTGAGTGTATTTTGGCTCTTGTATTTTCAATTTAGCCCTTTTGTTTTGGCAAATCATTTGGAATTAGTGTTTTTGGGTTAAAAGATTTAGCAGATTGGGTTAGATTTCGGCCCATAGTTTAAATGTTTGAACCGTAACAAGTTACTTGGGGAAATCTTTAAAAGAATCTAAGTCAGAATTGAGTAAATTTTTAACTTTAGATGAGGTCCGTACCGGCACCTACAAGCAACTCTTCCACCCCGAGCAACTCATCACCGGAAAAGGAAGACGCCGCCAATAATTATGCCCGAGGACATTACACTATTGGAAAAGTAAACTTGAAACCCGTTTTTGAGTGCTAAACTTATTCTAGGAAATCATCGATTTGGTGCTCGATCGAGTCCGTCGTTTGGCTGACAACTGCTCGGGACTTCAAGGCTTCTTGATCTTCCACTCATTTGGAGGAGGTGGGGGTTTAGAAAAGAAAACTTATCAAGATGTTTTTAACTTATCAAATTTAATTTAATCATTCTATCAACCCACATTAATTCATTTAAATTCAGGAACCGGTTCCGGCTTCACTTCTCTTTTGATGGAACGTCTTTCCGTCGATTATGGAAAGAAATCGAAGCTCGAGTTCTCCATTTATCCGGCTCCACAAGTCTCGACGGCCGTCGTCGAGCCGTACAACTCGATTCTCACCACGCACACCACTTTGGAGCACTCCGATTGCGCTTTCATGGTCGGTTCTTAAAGGCTATGAGCTGGAAGCTATTGGGTGAATGCATATGAAATGGCTAATCCATGTAAATTTCTCCACCAGAGCAGCTATCTAATTTCTGTTTGGTTTCTTATAAATTTATAAGCTAATAACAGCGGGGCAACTTTTTGATTTGACATGAAATGATGGAGAAACTTTTCGATCATTCGAGTTAACTCAACTTTGTTCTTTTGAGCCAAATTTCTATTAGCGCGATACTTTTTAATCAACATAATTCTATTTAAAGATTGCAGTGCATTGTTGTCAATATGTTTTCTGAATTTTGAAAATAATTTGAAGCGATAAAGCCTGGGATTTCTTAATGAATTAGCTTTTTATTGAAAACGTCAATGTAAATCATGATTGCTTGTTTGTTTGTTTGTTTAGTTTGTTAGTTTGTTTGTTTAGTTTGTTTCACAGCTGGAATATTTGATCAAGAGGCTGATTATTACATAACTTTTGCACTAGCAACAAATCATAAAAGAACTTTTTAGAATCTGGTTGGGGAAATCTGGAAGAATTTATCCATTTCATATGCATTGACCCAATAATAAAGGCATTATAGCCTTTGAGACAATTCTTATAGAATTAGTTTTATAGGTTGACAATGAGGCCATCTATGATATCTGCCGTCGCAACTTGGATGTCGATCGCCCAAGCTACACCAACTTGAATCGGATTATCTCGCAGGTTTGAAAACAAATAAAATGTAGTTTTTCGAGAATTTGATTCAATAAAATTTACTTGAGGTTGTCTCCTCAATCACCGCTTCTCTTCGTTTTGATGGAGCGCTGAACGTTGACTTGACCGAGTTCCAGACCAACTTGGTCCCATACCCACGAATCCATTTCCCGTTGGCCACCTATTCGCCCGTGATCTCGGCTGAGAAGGTTTGTTTTAGAAGAGCGTTAACGTGACAAATTATTGCAATTTTAGGCCTATCACGAGTCTCTCTCAGTTGCTGACATCACCAACATGTGCTTCGAGCCGAACAATCAGATGGTGAAATGCGATCCACGACACGGAAAATATATGGCTGTCTGCTTGCTTTATCGGTTCATTTTCAAAAATTTGCTTGTATACAACTTTCATTGTTCTCAATGATACAATTTGTACAAAAGTTCACGACAGGATCAAATTTTTATTACCTTGTTTAGTGGTGATGTTGTGCCAAAGGATGTGAACGCTGCAATCGCCTCGATCAAGACCAAGCGCACGATTCAATTCGTTGACTGGTGCCCAACTGGATTCAAGGTAATCATAGTAAATTGTTTAGTAACCTCTGTCATTCATGGCAATTGATTAATTGCGAAAGCTACAGTTTGAAAGACTTACAAAGACAACTTCCAGGTCGGAATCAACTACCAACCACCAACCGTTGTGCCTGGAGGAGATTTGGCCAAAGTGCCCCGTGCTGTTTGCATGCTTTCAAATACAACGGCCATTGCTGAAGCTTGGGCTCGTCTCGATCACAAATTCGACCTAATGTATGCCAAGAGAGCATTCGTTCACTGGTGAGCTTTAAAAGACTTATGAGTGATGAGTAAATGTAAAACAAAACAAATTCAGGTACGTCGGTGAGGGTATGGAGGAGGGAGAGTTCTCGGAGGCTCGTGAGGACTTGGCTGCTCTTGAGAAGGTTTGTTTTAGATATCTACGCAAAAATCAGGCAATTCGGAATAAATTTCTAATTTCGCTCAGGCTTCGCTTTCTAAATATTTAGCGTTAAAACGCTCTGAGTTGAGAGTATTTACAATTCTTTTTGTTTTGCTGATAGATTTTGCTGCGACGCAACGCAAGAGCCGTGAAAAATGACTGACTAGTGAGTCATTCTAGTATACTGTAACAATATATGGCTTACATTGTTATAAAAAACCTCTAAAATCAAAACTTGTATACAAAAGATTTAAACTTCAGGACTACGAAGAGGTGGCCGTCGATTCGCTCGAGGGTGAGGCTGAAGGAGGCGAAGAGTACTAAAATCCTATGTAAAAATAGGAAACATTTCCCCCATTCTTGTTATTTTCGGTGTTATTTCATTCAAGTCAACTGCCCTATTTTTCATTCCATTGAAAAAAACAATTGTGAGCTTCATTTCCCCTAAAGTATTCCATCAAGATCTTCGAGCTACGCCTTTTGCTTAATATTCTATCATTTTTGAATTCGTTTCTCTGCCCAGCAATCTGCAAAATAAATTTTTTTTTTCGAGATTTCGGAAAAGACAAAAAATCTCTAGAGCTTTTTACAAAAATCATTCATCTTTGAAGACAAAACATCGAAAAGCTGAATCAAGCGAGATCCTCGAGAAAATCATTCACAGTTTTTACGAAATTTTCTCGGAAATGAAACTTTTCTTGTCGATAATTGTTCTTTCGGTGGCATTTTTGGTGAGCGCTGAGATTCCGATCGAAAGGGACACACCACAAGTAAGTGTAACAAGAGTACAGTAGTTTATTTTGTAAAGTACAGCTGCGTATTAAGTAGGTTAGCAAGCGGGAAAATTGAATATCTACTAATTTTCAAAGAAATGGGGCAGTTACGTTTTTTTCTACAGTGCGTAGCTGTTCCATTGGTTGGGTTTTGCTTTGAAAATCAAATTGCAATAACTCGCACTCAGAAATCAATGGTTCCGAAAGATTTTCTTCTTTTTACGCTTTCAAGCCTGATATCAAGTACGGAAATCTAATCCGTTTTCTAAAAATTTAATTTTTGTCAAACAGAAGCTTATTTTGTATGGTAGCTTATTCAATACAGTACATGGTACTCGAGTACCATGTACTGTACTGAATACTCTTCCCATCTAACCTCTGAAATATGTAAATTTTCTAAAGTTACTGTGGCTTTATTTTTATCAAATTGAACTATTTTGTTCACCTTTTGATATCTTATGTAAATTCTCACAGATCGAAAAAACAAATCAGTAGTTTCAATAAAACTAATGCTAAGATGAAGATAACTTGAAAATTAACACGAAACTCTTTGTTCAAATGTTCATTCTAGCTGTGCCTGTACTGTCTCAACCAGATGGAAGCATCGTTCGCGTTGATGAAGAAGAAAAATGTGGCCGTTTTAAGAGCTCCCCTCGATGAGGTGAATAAAAAAAACAATCCACTAAACTAATCCAATTCTCAGCTTCAAAGCGCCGCGAGGAAAATGTGTGAGGAGAATATGATCGACAAGGCACACGTCTCCACTTGTGTCTTCATCACCTACAGCGTAACTTATTTTTGGCTTATGATTTGTTAGACAATCGCAATAGACAATCGCACTAGACAATTAGATTTTGGACAATCAGACAATTACATTAAACAATGAATCAAAACCTTTTAGATGGGCAAATACTTGATCGGTCGAAACATCACCGATCTCACCCCAATCTCCTCGTGCAAAGAGCTCAAATACTGCAAGATCCCGCAATAAGTTCAAGATCGAAATTGAATTCAAATAAAGTATTCGATGTTTTACTTGGGAATTTGGAAAAGCAATTCATCATTCAGAAGCAGTTCTATAGAACATCTATAAAACACTTTCACCGTACTTCAAAAAGAAGCAATTAATGAGAAACGATTTGTAGAAAATCGGAAAAGAATTTAAATAAAAAAAACAAGATTTTAAATCTCTAGAGAATATTCTAACAATCACAAATGCTAATTTCATCAATATTTCACTTTTCTTTATTTTTAATTACCGTATTCTCTCTAATAGTAGTGCATCTTAAGCTTTGCCTTAATTGCTTGAAATCTCGAAAAGCGCTTATCAGAACCTATCGATGTGGGGTCGGAAAATGTAGCTGACGATGAGATCTAGTAGGAGATTAGAGAGTTGAGCTTCTGCAAAAGCTTGGAAACCGTAAAATAGTCACCAACTCGGCTCCGCGGGGTGCACTACTATTAGAGAGAATACAGTAATTCATTTTCCCCCTTTTGTCTACTTTATTGGCAAAAAATGGCGCTAAATTTCTACCTAACATTCATTTTCTTCACTTTTTTTAGTTAAAAATCAGATAACTGACTGTTTTCTGAAAGAGGGGAAACAATTAAATGAAACTGTAAGTTTTTAAAGATTTTCTTCATATCAAGCTTTAGATCTGTTACAAATATGTTGAAATTCTTGAATTCTTTGAGGAAAATACGAAAAGAAACGGGATTCCGGTGGATTTGATGAATTTTTGGAGATTTCAAAAGCAATCCTTTCAGTTTTTCAGTTCAAGTTGATTGCTTTAAATTTCTGTGATCGAGCGGCAAGATTTTTACAAGTGACAGGCATTGAAACAGTGATAAAGTGATTATAACTTTGTGAGTTTAAGTTCTGAAAAGCGATACTGATTTAGAATAACAACTATATTCCTCTTTTAAATTGACCGTTGACCGATTTGAACCACTTTTCGCTTTGTGGTCAACTGTTATAGTCATCCTAATGCGAAGTTTTTAGTCTCACAAGTAGCATGCATTGAAAGAGTGATAAAGGTATAACTTTGTGAGTTTAAGTTATCAAAATCGATACTGTTTTAGAATAATAACTATATTTCTCTTCTAAAAGAAATCTATTGTAGAAAAACTATCGAAAACTGTTTTCTTTCCTTTCCTTTTCATCTCTCTTTCTCCAATTGTCCTTTTTCAACGAAAACCAGCTTTTCCACACGAAGATGCAGCGTTTATTACCCCGATTTTAGCCCGAACATCCATGGCTTGTTGGTCTAGTGGTATGATTCTCGCTTTGGGTGCGAGAGGTCCCGGGTTCGATCCCCGGACAAGCCCAAGATTTTTGGTTTTTTTGAAATTTGATGTTTGTATAAAAAGTTAACAATCCAATTTTCTAAAATAGATTTTTTTTAATTGAATTGACTAGTGAAACGATACTTTTTTCCTTTCAGACCCTCAAATAGCCCAAATCTCAAAGAGCAAAGAGCCCAAATCTACTCAAAGATCCATTGAAAGACCGCGAGGAGTTTAATTTGTTCTAATCGCTTCTTTAGCTCGCTTTTTGAAAGTTCACTATTGTTTTTGTTGTGATTCTTTGGCAGACAAACGTGTTTTGAACCTAAAGTGCTTGAGTCTATTTGTGCGTAAACATCTGTTCTCATCAATGTCAATCTCGCCCGTTTTAAAGATGATAAGTTTCATTGAGTTTTCCAGCAAAATTTGAGTTAAATTTTATCATTGCCTGAGCCTTGTGATTCCTTATCGAATGATACGAAAATTTAGCTGATCAAATGTAAACTACGATTACGGTAGATTCTAAAATAGGTAGGTGTCTTTTAGAAAATCGATTATCCGAGAAGCTAAGGTATCTATTAAATATTTCTGTAAATTTATCAAAAAAACTAGAACCATATCTACAGTAGCGGACAGTAGTATATGTGTATGTGATTGTCGTTCCTGTCCTTCCCCCGCGAGCTGGTTGACCGGTACTCTGACCTGGTAGATTTGAGAGAAAAGGGAAGAGAAGAGAATGGGAAGAGAACCTGTTCTTTTTCTACCTTCTTTCCTCTATACTACTTGCAATCCCCCTCAGAACCATTCATTTCCTTTTCTATTACCCATTTTCTCCAAAAGTCACCTTGTGCTCACATCTTTTCACTCAAATTTTCGAGAGTTGACCGAATTGAACAGCATTTCACTTTGTGATCAACTGTTATACTTATAAGTATCAGAATCTTTTTCTCTTTTTAGTATCAGAATTTCTCTGGCTTGAGATTTAAACTATTCATTGTGTAAAGTTTACTTGTAACTTTTGATTCAACTTCATTTTTCGTTCAAGAAATCTTCGGCCTGTTCTGGCTTTAGTTTCACTTTCTGATCAACTGTTATACCGTATTTTCTCTAATAGCAGTGCACCCTAAGCGCCGTCTAAATTCCTCGAAATCTCGAGAACCGCTTATCAGAACTTATCGATGTGGGGTCGGAAAATGTAGCTGACGATGAGATCTAGTGGGGGATTAGTGAGAGGTACAAGCAGTATAAATCAGGAAGCCAGTCACGATCGTTCAAGCTGAGCCTGTGCTATAGGAAGCCCTGAGTGTCCGTCAGTCAGAGCTGACTCTAGATCTGACTAGTTGACTGTAGCCTGTCTTTCTGTCTGCTTGGAACATAACTATCGTCTTCTCTCTCATAGTAGTGCACCCTGATCATCGTCTAAATTGCTCGAAATCTCGTCAACCGCTTATCAGAACCTATCGATGTGGGGTCGGAAAATGTAGCTGACGATGAGATCTAGTAGGGGATTAGAGGGTTGAGCTTCTGCAAAAGCTTGGGAACCGTAAAATCGTCACCAACTCGGCTCGTCGGGTGCACTACTATTAGACAAAATACGGTACTCATAAGTTTCACTTTGTGAGTATCAACTGTTCTACTCATATTTTATCTAGTTTTTAGCCTACATATTTGGTTGCTTTTAACCTACCTACCTACCGTAAATACTGTAATAGTATCCCACCGCCCTCGTACAGTCACGTAGTCGCAAAAGTTTTTTAGTATTTCATTTTTTTTAAAGCGCCCGTACTTTCAAAAAATGCGTCTTTGGTATCAAAAAATAGCTGAAATTCAGGGCTATTTTTTGATATCTAAGCGCGCCTTGTAGCATAAAACAGTGTCGAGAAACACTCGTTCAAAGTTAGACTACCGTATTTATTCTGATAAACGCCGCCCCCCCCCCCTCGACCAACTTTAGATGCCTCGTTCTCAGCCCGATTTTAGGCTACAATGCGTGCCTTGGTATCAAAAAATAGCCCTGAATTTCAGCTATTTTTTGATACCTAAGTACGCATTGTAGCCTAAACCAGTGTCGAGAAAAACTCGTTCAAAGGTAGACTACGCAACACTCCGCACCGTCATTATCGGGGTGAGGTACTATTACAGTATTTACGGTATTTATTCGGTTTTTACATATTCGATTAGTTCCCTAAAGCTTTAAATATAGATTTTATAAGATTTAAGATCGAAAAAGCTAGCACTCATATTAGCCAGAATAAACGATCAATGAATAAACCAGCGTACAGCAGGGTTCCAATACGGTTCCTATTTTGATCTAATACGGTTCCTGAACCTGAACAATTTTATAATCAATCACTTAAAGAAACGCTTTACTAAAATAAAACAAACCAATAACATCATAAACGCTAAAATTTTCTTACCAAAAAATGTTCTCTTTTCACTTTTTTTCGCATTTTATCCATTTTTACCGTTTTTTCCTTCCTTCTCCATCTTTCAAGAGTTCTCAAAGTTCTAACAGACTCAAAAAACGCTCAATTTTGATTTCTTTGCTTTCTCGTGGTTTTCCGTTTTCAAAACTAACTTTAGATGCCGATTTCAAATGAGGATCTCGTAAAGATTCAAGAATTGCGCTCACTAGTTAAGGATAAAGTGTTTGAAATCCGAATTTCTTGAATACAAAGAATTTAGCTTACCCCATATTATGACACGGATTTTAATTTGTTGCGATGGCTTCAAGGGCACAATTACAATGTTGAAATGATCAAACCGAAACTGGAGAATCATTTGTTTTTGCGGAAATGGGACTGGGATTTGGACAATATGGCCGACGCGATGAGAGCCGATCCGATTCAAGAACATTGGAGGGTTAGTGGAATATTCTAGATGATAACACGGAGACAAAATTGGAGCCTGTATTGGAACTGTATTGGAACAGTATTAGATTAAGGAACCGTATTGGAACCGTATTAGATTAAGGAACCGTATTGGAACCGTATTAGATCAAGGAGCCGTATTGGAACCGTATTAGATCAAGGAACGGTATAGGAACCGTATTAGATCAAAATAGGAACCGTATTGGAACCGTATTAGATCAAGGAACGGTATTAGAACCGTATTAAATCAAGGAACGGTATTGAAACCGTATTAGATCAAGGAACCGTATTGGAACCGTATTAGATCAAATATGAACCGGCAAAAACATTGTCGATTAGAAGAAACTGAAAAAAAATCTAAATACTCAATCAGAGTTGGTAGGAAAATGTGTTGAAAAGCGGAAATTTAACGATTTTTACTTGGCGGAAAGAATTTGGCACTTTTGCTAACATTTTAGATGTTATAATGTCAAAATCCTTCAGAATGGACTAACTGGTGAAAGTGGAGTGATTCCGAATGTGATCATTAATCTCGAGCAAACCGGAAAAAATGATTGGTGGGGAATGCTGGCCACACATCCGATGAATCAGATCTTAAAAGTAAAAAGTGGAAAAAGTGAAATCAAAGGATTTGATTTAGTCTCGTGTACAAGACTTGGAGATTATGTTGGCTCGAGTGATGGAGCTTGAGAAAAAGACTGGTAATTGAAGCAAAAACAAATGGTTATTAGGCATTTAATACGCGCCATGTTCCTTTGCCATTGGCAACCTAACTTTGAGCTCAAATATCACGGTGTTAAGCTGTTAGATTTCAATATTTTTGGCACCATTAGATGCGCCAAGTCTTTCTCTATCGATTGGTACAAAAATTATTCAAATTGGACTGCCCAACAACGAGAAATTTGAGCTCAAAGTTGCCAATGGCGAAAGGGGTGAGGTTTAGGGGCTTTTATACGCGCTCTGTTCCTTTGCCATTGGCAATCCAACTTTGAGCTCAAATATCTCGGTGTTGAGCTGTTCAATTGCAATATTTTTGGCACCATTAGATGCACCAAGTCTTTCTCTACCGGTTTGTACAAAAACTATTTAAATTGGAAAGCTCAACACCAAGGTATTTCAGCTTAAAGTTAGATTGCCAATGGCAAATTTCTCGTTGTTGGGATGTCCCATTTGAATAGTTTTTGTACCAATCGATAGAGAAAGACTTGGCGCATCTAATGATACTAAAAATATTGAAATTGAAAAGCTTAACACCGCGATATTTGAGCTGAAAGTTAGATTGCCAATGGCAAAAGGGACGGGGCGCGTATCAAATGTCCCACAATCAAGAAAATGCAAAATTTTTCAGGCGAACAAGCACATATTATGTATGTGATGGATTTGGGTGGACTGGCATGGGATCGGAAATTGCCTGGATTATTAACAGGTACTCAACACCCAGAAACGCTCTCTAATCGTTTAAATTCATCCGTTTGCTTTGGAATTTGTTTCATAAGAACAATAGTGTAATTTTTAAAATAGACTTACAAAAGTTCGATCGACTAATGCATGCTGCAAATAATTCTAACAGTTGCTAGAATTCTCTGGATGAAATTCAAATTGAATCTAGGTCCCCTATCAGCTTTGTCTGCTTTCATGGCGGACCACTATGTGGAGTTGATACATTCGTTTGTTCTCGTCAATGTGCCAACTTTTATCTCAGCTGTTTGGTAGGTTTTTGACTAATGGTTTTTGATTTTGGCGACCGTAGCCGACCGGATAGGAGTCTTGTCGCCTAGTCTTGTCTCCTAGTCTTGTCTCCTAGTCTTGTCTCCTAGTCTTGTCTCCTAGTCTTGTCTCCTAGTCTTGTCTCCTAGTCTTGTCTCCTAGTCTTGTCTCCTAGTCTTGTCTCCTAGTCTTGTCTCCTAGTCTTGTCTCCTAGTCTTGTCTCCTAGTCTTGTCTCCTAGGTTAGGGGTTCAATCCCGGCGGCTAGAAAGATTGGTTCTTTTTCCCGTTATTATGGGTTTTTTTCTTAACAACATTTCGGCAATAGGGGTAATTAGGGGTAAAAATTTCCTCCGTTGTATTGTAATTCATAATTCGTGTCGAATAAATCTACTTTACTTTAGTCAATAGTTTAAGCTGGTTTTTAGATTCAAGGTTAGATTAGATCGATTATTTCTAGATTACCGAAACGAAATTTCGATCGACTAATGCATTCTGCAAATAATTCTCTGGATGAAAATAATGCTGGAATTCTCTGGATGAAATTCAAATTGAATCTACCTGGACCCTGAATTATCACATTTGTAAAAGGCTAATCGTTCTGTAACTCCATAGTCTAATTTGCCGTATTTCAAAATATTAATATTACCATTGTGTAGCCCTTGAAAAGAGCTTTCAGAAAATGTATAACACTAATAGTTTAAACTCAAAGACAATGGAGTTACAGACGCGGAAGTGACGCACTTTTCAACTATGATGTTTCATTGTCCAGTATGGAGGTTCCCTACATGGGTCTAAACAACACCGTTGTAGATCTAGGCTAATTTCCTTTCAACAATTCGATTACGAGAGCTTCTTTAGAGCTATTCTAAACCCGGATTTAAGTTTTTAAAACTCTAATTTCATATAAAATATTCAATTTTCATTTCAGACCCACAGCCGGATCGATTTTGATGTTTTTAAACTGTTGATAATATAAAAATAAAACTATAAGGGTTTTCGGAAAAGGAAAAAAGTTTTTGAGCTTTTTGAGCAAAAGATTCGGCTTTACAGACTCCTTTAAGAAGGCAATTCAGCTAAAAGATTCATCTAATAAATTAAAATGTTGAAGTAAAGCCATTTCCCAGTTCATTTTCTCAATTACAGGACCATCGCCCATCCACTACTCCCAGAAAGAACGAAGAAAAAAGTGGTGATCTTGGGTGGAAACTGGAAAAGCGAGATCCTCAAATACGCCAATCCCTCAGTTTTACCGTCTTTCTGGAATCAAGAAGGAGAAGACGGGGTTTAAAAAAAAGAATAATATCTAATCTAAATTCTAATATGTTTAGCCATTCAAATACCACTTGAAACGATGCATTCCCTATCCATCGGAGAAATTCTACAAGGATCAACTCCCATCCGAAGCCGAGACCCTAACAATTCCCGCTGGGAAATCCGACTCGATCGATATTTACATTGATGAAGTTTGCCGTTAACAGATTAGCAGATTTAGAGTTTTGATTAGGATGAAGATTTGAAATGGGAAATCCATTCGGATGGCACTTTTAATTTCATGGTTTATTATGTGGAGGATCCGAGGGAAACAACAGCCGTTGAAGATCTTGCGCCTGCCACTCCGTACTTTGCGGTAATTAAAAGAAATTTCTATAATATTTAACCAGTATAGAACCGATTTATGTTTATTAGGTTGTAAACTAACAAATCGAACTTTTGGAAACCTTTTAGAAAACAAATAATCGATTTTTTTGGAAAATCAAATCAAATTTAACAATAAGAAATCAACAAGAATTCGTTTTACTTTTATACGTAAAATAAAGACATAAATATTCTATTTTTTCAGTAAAATTTTCAACAAAATCCATCCAGCCGTCTTTTCTGAATTTTCGTTTGAACAAAAGTTCTCAAATAAAGGATTTTTGATCATATCGCTTTGAATAACTTGAAATTTCTAGAAAACGACTGAATGGATTTTCATGGAAACTTTACTAAAAATGTAATATAGATTGATCTTTCTTTAGCCTAGAAAGTTAGTGTCAGTTCCCATCAAAAAAAGTAGTCAACCGAGACGAGAGCCAACCGAGATTCTCGCCAATTTTGCCGACTCGCTTTTCCGCTTCCGAAAAATCTCAAAAGCGAAAGCTTTTCTGAATTTTATATGTCTATGCCACAGATTTCCTTATGCAAACTTCCAAAAGTACTCTCGACTCCCCTTACAACGATTTTGAAATTCTAAAATATGCCCTTACTTTCTGCCTAACCAAACGCAATCGTTGAGCATTCAGGCGCAGAAATTTTGGGCACGTTTTAGAATCGTTAAATCGAAATTTTCGGTCTCGAGCTAATCGTTGACTGTATCATTTCTCTTTACTTTAGAAAGTCCCTGGCCCAACGTGTTGTCCGTTACGAGAACGAATGAAATGCCACAAACCTGGCATTTACCGTTTCATTTTCACCAACGATGCCTGGTTCTACACCGTGAAAATCACTCATTTGCTCGAAAGAGCAACAAGGAATTCGTGAATTTTATAATTTTCTATAAAAATTTATCAAAAATCTTGAAATAAACGATTTTAAAAAGGGAAAAAAGCAAGAAAAAAAGCAAGAAAAAAAAGTTCAATCGAAAGCACCGAATTAGAGATGAAGCAAGTGTTTCAAAGACGGAAATTTATAAAAAATAGACTTTTTTAGTTGATAACCCATAAGAATCGAGTATTTGGTGGCATTAGAGTATTGGAAATCAAAAAAATGAGAATAGAAATTAAAAGAGACATTAAAAATAAGGAATTTCCTTTGAAATGCTTCTTCTAAAAGTTGTCAACTTTGAAAAATTAGCGCAATCTCGCCTGATTCACTCAAATTTCCGAGATCGAACTTCGCTTTGTCAAACTGTTATAGTCACCAATGCACGTTCCCAGTGACAGGCTGAAACAGAAGATTGTGAGGGAGACTTCACGTTGACCGATTTAAACCACTTTTCGCTTTGTGGTCAACTGTTATAGTCATCCTAATGCGAAGTTTTTAGTCTCACAAGTAGCATGCATTGAAAGAGTGATAAAGGTATAACTTTGTGGGTTTAAGTTATGAAAAGCGATACTGATGTAAAATAACAACTATATCCCTCTTCTAAAAGACATCTATTGTAGAAAAACTATCGAAAACTCTTTTCTTTCCTTTCCTTTTCATCTCTCTTTCTCCAATTATCCTTTTTCAACCAAAACCAGCTTTTCCATACGAAGATGCAGCGTTTATTACCCCAATTTTAGCCCGACCACCCATGGCTTGTTGGTCTAGTAGTATGATTCTCGCTTTGGGTGCGAGAGGTCCCGGGTTCGATCCCCGGACAAGCCCAAGATTTTTGGTTTTTTTGAAATTTGATGTTTGTATAAAAATTAACAATCCAATTATGATAGTTTTCTAAAATAGATTTCTTTTAGTTGAATTGACTGGTGAAACGATTCTTTTTTCTTTCAGACCCTCAAATATCACGCAAAGAGCCCAAATCTACTTAAAGATCCATTGAAAGACTGTGAGGAGTTTAATTTGTGAATAATTGTCCAATTGTCCTTTTCCAACCAAAACCAGCTTTTCCACACGAAGATTCAGCGTTCATTAGCCCCATTTTAGCCCCCCTCCAGCCATGGCTTGTTGGTCTAGTGGTATGATTCTCGCTTTGTGCGAGAATCCCGGTTTCGGTCCCCGGACAAGCCCATAGCTTTTAAAATTTGACAGCTAGCCATTTGACAGCTAGGTCTAGGGCTTGTTGGTCCAGTGTTCGCTTTTTGTTTTAATGTCTTTAACTTTCAGGTTCTCTGCGAAGCATTTATTATTTTATTAAAACATAATAAGACTATTTTTTTAAAAAACTAGCATGAAATGAACTCCATAGTTGCTGGGTGTATCATCAGTTGGTTACACATTTGACTAAACGAAAATATGGCTTTTTTTTTTGCTTTTGCTTAGAATTTCTTGCTTAGAATTGCAAAATATTGCTTAGAATTACGAATTCGACCAAGGCATTCGAAAGTTTATGCAAACTTTTACCTTACTTGAGCAATAAACTTTCTATAACTCACGAAGATTGGAGGGCAGCTTTGGAATGCTCGACTGCACAATGCTTTGGGTAAACTTCACGGATCAATCCTATAAGAATTGAGTGATCTAACTTGAGATTGAAAAGGAGATACCCGCGACTTGGGGGCCAGTCTTTTCGCCAAACTTCGACAAGCAAAGTTGCCATTTGTTTACTGAATTGCTTTCAGGATTAAACTGATTTTCGAGATTCTTTACGTCAACTGGGTAGTTGCTTTAGTGTAGCACGTTGCTTGGCTAACAAGCTTCAGAAGAGAAAGGTCCTTGTTGCATGCGTTGACTTGAGCAGCAAACGATGTGAGAATAGCGTTTAGCTTTTCCTCAACCGCATCAAATTCTTTTTGATACGTTTCATCTAAATGATTCATTTAGAATATCAGCAAATAAAGGATTCGAATTTCTATTTATTCCTTAATTGATAGATTCAGTTAGTCACCGAATCTCTTCAGAAACTCACTTAAAGCATGAGCTAAGTGATCCTGCAATTCCTTGAGGATGTCGTTGTTGAAGGCTGAATAATTTGTTTTTTAAATTGCCATGGAAATAACAAAGAAGTTTTGAGTGAGAGAAATTGAGTGAATCACAAGAAAAGGACTCTAAACTTGTAAACCCTTTGAAGCTAAGCTTCTTGTAAATAGGTTCCAAGCTTAAGCTTTTCTATTAGGGTGTAAAGAAAATAATTCGCGCTTCGAATTTCCCTGATAATTTGTCAAGTGTTTGCTTACGTAATGTTTTGAAAAAAAAATAAACTATACACTCACTAGATTTATAATTATTATAATCACTTTGCTAGTGAAAGGAGAAATGATTATATCGTATTTTCTCTAATAGTAGAAAGCCGAGCCGAGTTGGTGACGATTTTACGGTTTCCAAGCTTTTTCAGAAGCTCAACCCTCTAATCCCCCACAAGATCTCATCGTCAGCTACATTTTCCGACCCCACATCGATAGGTTCTGATAAGCGGTTCTCGAGATTTCGAGCAATTTAGGCGACGCTCAGGGTAATCGGCTGAAATTCATAATCGGTTACGACATGTATATTAGGTACTTGTAAAAGGAACTACGGGTCATAAAAATCATCATACAAAGACTGTAATTAAAGCTATCAGCTATCAGAGGTCAATGCTGACTGGCTTTCAGCTTGGCTTGGTTTTTGACCTGGTCTGACTTCTGTCTGGCCTTTGTAAGCCATATGCTCCCTAATAATAGTGCACCTGGCCGAGCCGAGTTGCTGACTATTTTCCGGTTTCCCAGCTTTTGCAGAAGCTCAACCCTCTAATCCCCCACTAGATCTCATCGTCAGCTACATTTTCCGACCCCACATCGATAGGTTCTGATAAGCGGTTCTCGAGATTTCGAGGAATTTAGACGAAGCTCAAAGTAGACTTAGACTGTTCCGTTCAACTAAAGCATTCAAAATGGGAATATCAGTTGAATATCTTTGAGCAACTTTCGGTTGTAGATTAGATGCTTTTCCCTGATTATTTTCTAGTAGTGCACGAGTGCAGCCGAGTTAGTGAGGATTTTCGGGCTTTCCAAACTTTTCCCAGAAGCTCAACCCTCTAATCCCCCACTAGATCTCATCGTCAGCTACATTTTTCGACCCCACATCGATAGGTTCTGATAAGCGGTTCTCGAGATTTCAAGCAATTTAGGCGAGGGTGCACTACTATTAGAGAAAATCCGGTAAATCTAGTGAGTGGGAACCCGAAAATCAGAATGTTATATGCAAATTGATAAATGCAAATTTTTGAGTGAAGATGTGATAAACAATAAGTACGAATGGAAAGAAGTCATCCATAAAAATCAAGCTTACCTTAACGATTGATCTTTACTTCTTTGAGTCTTTTTCAATAAATAATTTTGATCAAAGAAAACGTGGATTATTTTCTTTCCACCCTCATATCTATACTTTTTTATATTACATGCTATTTCTATATTCTATCGTACTTTTTATGTGTGTTGGATAGCCATCTTTTAATTGAACTTTTGAAAGGAAACGAACCAGACGCGACTTGGGTGGCACACTCCACATCTGCGCGTAAAAGTGTAGCGCCTAAAACCCCGTTGAGAGAAATAAGAAGGAAAAGCGATGGAATGGAGTGCTTCATCACTCGATTTCTGAGTTGATTTTGTCCATTCACTATTCGATGTCCTTTTATATTGAATTCAACCATCGACAAGAGTGTTCGCTATCGTAAATTGACCAAGAGAGACCAAGTTTTGCATTCATTTAACGTCCAGATGTCTGTCTGTCTCTTATTTTTTTCAACTAATCCTCGATTTACATTAATTCAAAAGTTCAAATCGTTTAAAATTTTTGATCATTCTGTGGTTTTGGTTCAGGGAATGGTCAAAAATCTTGATTTCAGTGTATTCCAGAGAAATTCCGCGATTACTTACGCGATTACGCGTACAAAAGATTACTTACAAAAGATTAGTGTACAAAAATTAATTTTCCAAAGAGTTGAGTTGGAGAATTCAAATTTAAAAACACTTTTATTTGAAATAGAATTTACAAGCACAAAGAAAATCACGAGAAGACCTTTTGCAGATAAATCTTTGGAAGATATGGAACAAACAAACCATTTGAAACATTCGCTGGCTTCCGTCCTTCCAGCCGATGCCCTTTTGAGAGATGAGAAGGAGAACCGATGGAATGGAGGCGTTCATTGTGTGATTTGTGAGTGAATGCTGTCTATCAGGCGTCCGCTGTCCATCAGGTGTCCTTTCATATTCAACAAGACAATGCACAAAAGTATTCTCTATCGGAAACTGATCCTAAATTTGCATTAATTCCATCTTCACCGCTCATTTCCCATTTGGAAGCTTTTTTTGACTTTTCATCGACTTGCATTCAATTATTTTGAGATTTTGACTTCAATTCCTTTCAATTTCTGACAAATGTTCTTTTCAACTGTGTTCTGTGTTCTTTTCTTTTTCTGTGCTTTGTTCAGTTCATTCAATGGTCAAACTGTTGCCCGTTACGAGAACGAATGAAATGCCACAAATCTGGCATTTACCATTTCATTTTCACCAACGATGCCTGGTTCAACACCGTGAAAATCACTCATTTTCTATAAAGAACAACAAGGAATTCGTAAATTTTACAATTTTCTATAAAAATTTGTCAAAAATCTTGAAATAAACGATTTAAAAAAGGGAACAAAGCCAGAAAAAAAAGCTAAATCGAAAGCACCGAATTAGAGATGAAGCAAGTGTTTCAAAGACGGAAAATTTATAAAAAAATAGAATTTTTTTAGTTGATAACCCATAAGAATCGAGTATTTGGTGGCACTAGAGTATTTGGAAATCAAAAAAATGAGGGTAGAAATCAAAAGAAACATTAAAAATGAAAAGTTCTTCTTTAAAAAAAGTTGATTAGCTGGAATCAAGTCTACAAATTTGATTTTTAGAAAATTCCACAAAAGTAAACAATTGTAGGGTTTAAAAAATTAGATTATAACATGTTTTTCAATCAGCTGCTCCTTTCGCGATGTCCATTGTTGCCGATTTGCCGAAACGTGGCACTCTTTTCGGCAATCCCAACGACGCCAATGAGACTTTTCGCTCAGCTTTTCTTGGTGTTGCCTGAAAAGTTTTCAATAATTCAATAATACAATCATTCAAATGTCCTAGATTAAGTTTAGAGCAAGAAAAATTGACAAAACATTCTTAAGCCTAGAGTAACTAGCGTTTTTTAATCGTTTTGCGAAAGTCACTGAGGAAATTTCTTTCAAATGCTTTTTCTAAAAGTTGCAACTTTCAAAAACTATCGCAATTTTGGATACTAATCAAGTTTTTGTCGAGTTTTTCACTTTTTCTGGGGTAATCGACGACGCTGATCACGAAAATCACGTTTTTAACACGAGTTTGCATATTAAAAATTGACTTTTCCATCGAAATCAACGTATTTTTGCAATTTTGGCGTTTAAATGACGATTTTCCGTGATTCTAGGGTAATTTTTTGCGTAGAATTTGAAAATCAACATCAAAAAAAGCTGAGTTTCGGGTTTTTGTTAGGAAAATGCGAGCTTTTCGAAAGATTTGACGATTGCATTTCTATTTTAAGCTTTTACAAATCGTGACTTAAGTGGGAAGGATTTGTATGATCAAATTAAACACAATTAAACTTGATAATTGCCGTCCATATGCCTTAAAGTTATTCGCATTCTTCTCGAGTTGGAAACTTCAATTTTTAATCGGCAAACTTATGTTAACACCTTCGCGACGAGGTTTTTTTTTTTGCGTTACTTCCCCAGTGTCTCGGGTGTCTCGCAAAGCTATTAGTCCCGAAATACACCTCCTATATGTAAAATTTCATGCTGAATCCGAATCTCTAATCAGATTTTGAAAATATTCCTGCCTCAAAAAGATATCGGTTCTTTTTGGCTCGTGAGACAAAACGCCGCATTTCTCTTTCTCCAATGGTCCGTTTTCCACGATTTTTGTTTTATTGGATGGTGCTCAGCTAGATGAGCATTTCATATCAACATCATTTTTTGATAAGACTTTATCCCAAAAAGTTATGGCCCTTTTACTGGGATACGCGCAATAGAGGTCTTCTACAGGGTGCGGCAAAAGTTCTGACACTTTTTCTGTAAGCAGTAATTTTTTTAGCTTCAAAAACCCGTGAATTTCAAAAAACTAACGCCGGATTCTAAAAATTTAGGTAGTTTTACCCCAATATAGCCATTTTCATAAAAAGATTTCAACTCGCAATAACTTTTTGACGAGAATTTTTTATATCCCGGTCTGGTCTGGCTGAAGATTTTTGCGAAAGTTGACTTAAACTTTGCAGAATGAAATTTTTTTCCAAAAACTGCTGTTACCATTTGATAGAACTGAGTTTTTTTTTCTTGAAAACAAGCCACAAAAAAACTTTATATCTCAAAAACGAAAGATTTTCAAGCGATTCTACGAAGGGCACCCAAATCTCAACAGCAAAAAAAAAACTGCCGTAACGACCTTTAAAAATCCTCATCAAAAGGTTGTTTAGATGGCAATTTTTGTGTAAAAAAGTATATTAGGGGGTAAAAATATCTGAATTTTTATAATTCGGTGTTAGTTTTTCAAAAATCGCGTTTTTTCCAAGTCAAACTGCCCGTTTACAAAAAGTGTCGGAACTTTTGCCGCACCCTGTATAGCGCAGTCGGTAGAGCTTCTGTCTCTGGGGCGGGAGGGGTTTCGTCCGGTGGACCACAAGTTTGTCCACTTGTGGACCGAATCGTCCAGAATGTGTTAAAAACGTGATTTTCGTGATCAGCGTCGTCGATTACCCCGGACAAAATAAAAACCTCAAAGAAAAGTGCTTTATTAGTACCCAATCTTGCCTTTTGATCAAATTCAGATGCAAAAATAAAACTAAAGACAAGATTACGGTAGTTTTTGAGATTTTACACGTTTTAGAAAACAAATTAACCAAGAAGAGTCAACTGGAATTGAAAATTTCCTCAATAGGGGAGAAGGAGGGGGGGGGGGGGGGGGGGGGGAAAAAAGGAAAAGGGGGAAAAAAAGGGGGGGGGGGGGGGGGGGGGGGGGAAAAAAAAATAAAAAAAAAAAAAAAAAAAAAAAAAAAAAAAAGGGGGGGGGGGGGAAAAAAAAAAAAAAAAAAAAAAAAAAAAAAAAGGGAAAAGAGAAAAAAAGGGGGGGGGGGGGGGGGGGGGGGGGGGGGGGGGGGAGGAGGAGGGGAGGGAGTTTTTTATTAAAAAAAAAAAAAGGGGAAGAAAAGGGAAGGGGGAAAAAAAGGGGGGGAGGGGGGGGGGGGGGGGGGGGGGGGGGGGGGGGGGGGGGGGGGGAGGGGGGAAAAAAGGGGGGGGAGGGGGGGGGGAAGGGGGAAGGAGGGGGGGGGGGGGGGGGGGGGGGAGGGGGGGGGAAAAAAAAGAAAAGGGAAGGGGGGGAGGGGGGGGGGGGGGGAAAAGGGGGGGGGGGGGGGGGGCAACCCCCCCCCCCCCCCAATACTTGCAATAAAGGGTTTAAAAGAAATCGTAGGTTCTTTAATTTAAATTAAAGAATCAAAAACTGTTTAGACAATTTTATCTCATTGGCATCTCATTGAAAACTTGAGCTCTAACTCTTTCCATACACCAAAATATTCATTCCGTCTTCATTGTCAAAGCGGATCCTTTCATTTCATCCATTTCCTTTGATTTTCTCATGCTTTTTGCTCATTCTCAACCAAAGAACTCAACATAATTTACTTGTAATTCTCATTCACGAAAACTGAAAACAAATCTTTTTAGAAAACAGAAATCGTACAGATCACAAACGTAGCCGGGCAACTGAAGAATTTACACGCATAAAGAAATCATTTTTTAATAGAAAATTGACCACTGAAAGTTGAGAGAAGAGAGAAAATAGAGTCACATTTCTGGAACGAACACGAAAAGGCAGAAAAATTTTCAAGTTAAAAATTGGAAATGAATTGGAAAACCTAGTTGAAAAGTGGAATTTGCAAAAACGCGAGGTGTCTGTTTTCACTGAGATATCTACATGTAAAGGTATTTTTTTAAGTAGTACATAAAGCTGGTAATGACTAATCAAATCGATCTCAGCTATGTGATGTCAATGCTCTGGACACCTTGCGTTTGTGCTAGAGAAAATTCTCCGTGAAAATAACCAGATCTCGATAGTGAACCATATAGTGATTGCCGGGCTCGAAGTGCCGAAAGATTTGAGCCGAAAACTGAAAATTTTGAAAAGAGAGAGAGTTTAAGAAATCATAAAACAAGTTAAGAGGAAATCGGAAAAATTGGGTGAATCGCGATTAATTTGGTTTCTAGGAAAGAGAGAGGAAAAAAACCCGATTTGAAGATGAGTGAATTGAAGGAATTCTCACACTGATATAAGTACTTATTGTGGGCAAGAAAAGAGTGAAATTAACATTTGAAACGCGATTAGCATTTAAGAATGATAGAAGGCAAGGCAAAGTAAGTCTGATCGTACTTTTTGCTCTGAAAAACCGCTTTTGAGTACGCACAATTTTTGAGCAATCATTGTTGATGGTAATTTGTGCTCAAAAATTGCAAACACACTCATTCTGGTGCAGTGGATTTCTCCGTTTTTAAATGAAATCGGTGTGCCAGAACACAAAGTACCAGATTTACATGGTGAAAATAGAAAAGAGAGAAGAAGCAGAGAGAAATCTCGCATTGTCGAACGTCAACCGATCCGTTCATCAATTTCCAATAAAACAAGCCGACTCAAAAACTCTTTAATCAATAAATCAAGTAGAAGATTGGTGATTGCTTGTTGCATGCAGTGTCCCGTGCTCCTGCATGCTGAGCCGTGCCGCTTCCAAATGCTGCAGAAAGGCTCTCACTTTTTCGAGCGTCGTGTTGACGGCTTCTTTTCGATTCTCCAAAACGAAACGGCCAAAGGATTTCCATCTAGAAATATACGCATTCTTGATTTGATTTATTTATTGTTAATTAACAAAGGAAAGGTATCAGGTCAAGGTTTTTGATGTGTATTTGAAAGAACTTTGAATGAGGATTCCGAATCCGCTTTTAGTTTTTCTAATGGAGCTCTGTATCGCAAGATATCTCGCATCAAAGTTTAAGACCCGAAATCCTACGGTATTTCAGTCCAATTCCCCACACTAGATGATAGCAGCAGTGGTCTAGAGGTAAATCGGTGACCTCCAGCCAGAAAAACCCTGGTTAAACTTTTTTTCGCTTTTCACATTCGCGCTCCAACAACGCCTTGAAATATTTGTTGATCATTAACATAGAGTAGATTCGAGCTGAGCAAGCGAGCGAGCACAAAAAACTTGTGAGCGCTATCCATTGCGCTACTACTACCTGAGCCTAAGCCTTACGACCTATAACAACTCCGAAAGTCAAAAGTAAAATAAGACCCATAACAGGTCCGAAAAATCAACCTAAACTTTGATGCTAGATATCTTGCGATACAGAGCTCCATTAGAAAAACTAAAGGCGGTTTCGGAATCCCCATTCAAAACTCTTTCAAATACACGGGATGCGTATCAAAAAGGCCACCATAACCTAGCGTCTTTCCCCATTAAGAGATCAGAAGCCCAGTGTTTTCAACTCTTGGCTAGAAAATCTAGAAAAAATGAAATGAAGATAAAGTTTTTTAAGCTCTGCTAAATCAATTTCAACTAAAAACACTCCCTGAATGCAATGAAACTGTAAAAACATTTGAATTTCTAAATGTTTAACTGGTTCGTACAGTTTGAATGCAATGCCTTTGAGTTAGACAAGTCTACTTGTGACAGAACTTGCTTTGCCCCAATAAATCGATCAACTTATTTAATACAATTCGATCATTTTACATTTTTGTCTTCATAACCTAATCTATCTCCAAACTTTCATAAGAAAGTTTTGTTAGTCATAAAATTTCGAGTGACAATCGTTTCAGACCTCGATTGAGCTTTCCACACGTTTTCCTCGGGAGCCAGCACTCTTGAGTTCACCTTTCCCTGGTAGTTCTTTGTCGTTGTGCCTAAATTTGTGCGTATTCCAAGGTTACAAAGTTTTTTTTGCTCAAATAACATAAATATAATATGTTTAGATGTAAATAAAGTTAATTTACGTAAAAAGTTGGGTCAAAAAAACAATTTTTCTAGTAGATTTAGAAATCCGATGCTATCAGGGTCATTCTATAAGGGAAAATCAGAAAAAGCTGTCCTTTCCTAGGTAAAAAAGATTATTATTTTGACAGAAATTTACCCAAAGAGGTAATTTGAGGTGGAGAATGCGAATCTGAGGTTAGATATGAAAAATTCAAATGACAATTTTAAACTTTGACCTCAAACCAAAACCTCAAATGCGAAAGTTGTATTTTAATTTAAAAATTTTATAAACTTTTTTGAAAAAAATGAGCATTTTGAACCATCCACTTTGAGGGCTATTTTGGCTAGTTAAATTTGAGATTTATAAAAAATAAAGTTGATTTTTAAAAGCTACGCATCTTTTTACCCTAGAAAAGGTCAAAAAAAAAGGTGTGGGACAGGTTTTTGGCCCTAAACCGGGTATAGAATTTCAGCCGCAGTGGATGTCGCTAAGTACCAGTTTTAAACTTTTAAAAGATTTCAATTTTTTAAATTATTAAATTTATTCAATAAAATTATATAATTATATAAGATAATTAAATTGTTATATTAAATTTAAAACTTCAAAATAAAGTATCTGACCTGTGCACGGCTCATCTCCGGTCTCTTCAATCAGCACAAAGTCGTTCTCATCCATCTCAAGGCGACGAGATTTCATGAAAACCTAGAATTGACAGATTATGAAAATCAAATTCTAAGAAGCTATAAGATCTATTAGACTTAAATCTACGTATTCAAACCTGTTTTATCACATCGGTGGCAGTGCTTTTAATCGAGGCACGGAGAATCGCGTATGGTTGATCATCACTCACATTGTGCACACAAACGAGGAAAGTGTCGCCCATTGATCGAGCTCTTGGGTGTAATCCGGCTAAAATAGATGTTGACGTAAGACCGAAGTTAACAAAGCAAAGATTTACTTGGTGGTTCCAGTGTATCCCCGTTCTCGACATCCAGACTACGTCCAGTCAAATGTGACGAGGACGAAGATTTCATCCCGATTCCCTGAAGTGTTTTGTCTTTGAAAGTTGCAATTTTTAGGCTTACAATTAGTTTCAAATGCTTGGAATCGGCTATTCAAAGCTTAAAATCTAAAATGCTTATCAAAAACTGCCTTTAGTCAATTTGCAAACAGTTATTACTCTGTTTGAAATTTTTGGTAAACTACTTTTTTAAAATTATAGCAAGTTTTGTAAGCTTGTCTCTACTACTAGCTTTTCTCCAAACCTCATTTGATTTCCTCTCGGAAAGCCCGATATTCGGACTTGCTCCAGCACTCGATCCACCACCGCTACTCTTGATAATTGACGTAATCCAAGCTCGCGATGATGGATCCTAAAATTATTTTTTTAAGTAAAGCTTTCAAGTTTCAAGTGGATTTTTCAAGTTAAAAGTCTTCTTTTGCCTTTGTATTAAGTTAGTGCATAAGTCTTTCAAATTTTTGGTTTCCATAGAAAAAAAATCCTTTACCACATTTGTTGCGGTCTATTAAAAAGGTCTATCATTTCTCTACAAAATAGGTTTTGAGAGAAAGCTCCAAGCTCGCCTCAACTCGGTAAAAACGCATTTGCCTATAAAATTTTCAATTATTGTTTAAAAAAAAATGGCTGAACGGATCGTTTTCAAATTTTACAGACTTATGTAATCAAATAAACTCTATCGTTTTTACTTTGGCACCAAAATAGGTTTGTATTGAAGAAAGTGTCCAAATTACGAATATTCGAGCAGTTTTGGGTGTTCGCCTTTATGTCTTTGAAAATTCACAAAAACAACTATTCCAAGAACTTCTCAAAAGCCATTTTGCAGAGAAACGATTAACCTTTTTAATAGTTCAAATAGAAATTATGTTAATGGCGGCATTAGCTTTAAAAGACGTTTGAAAAAAACTTGTAAAGACTTATGCATCAATCTAATATGGGCTTGTTCACTCACCGATCCCTTCTTTCTCACGACAAATCTCCTTTGTGCTCCATTCCAACAGGCAACTGCATCCATAATCGGCTCAGCATGCGGTAATATTCGTTGATCTTGTGGATCATCGGAGTCAGTAGCCGATTCTTCGATCAGCACATAGTCCTCGGCTTGTTCGGCACTCTTTCCAGCTTTGATTAGAGCCTAGATAAGTTTTAATCTTTGAAGTTTTTACCAATACTGAACTAATTATTATATAATATTCTATTTCTATGCAATTTCCATGCCTTAGTATTATATTTACCTGCTGAATGACGGATTTCACAGTGCTTCCACTCTCGCTATGCACCACCACCGGCGTATCGTCAGCATTCAATCCGCTCACTCGCAACACGAAAATTTGCTTTTTCAAGATCGGTGTCGGTTTGATGTTCTCATTCTAAAAAAAAGCCATAATTTTTTTTTAACCTCACATAAATGTTAGCCAAAAAAAAAGATATGGTGACGAAAACTTAAAAGAAAACTGATTTCTCAGAAGTTAGTGAGGAAATTTCGCAAAAATTACACGAGTTCCATTTCGAAGTAGTCAATTCTGGCATAAGGATATAGATTTTAATGAAAATTTCTTTAAAACCTGGTCATTTTGATAGTCGAGTTGGTGTTCGATGTGCGAATTGCTGGCTGAATCTTCATCGTGAAGGTAGATGTGCTCTTCTTGCTCGAAACGGGTTCGAATAAAGAGAAAACCGTTATCTAAAAGTGTGAATTTGTATTGCAAAAAGCAAAGCTTACTCTTGCAAAGTCTAGTACTTTTTCTTTGCTAAAATATAATTTAAAGCGTCTAAAAATTGATGTATAACCTATCTAAACGTCTTTTATCAATTACTATAGCAAACTGATCCAACTTTTGTTCAGGTTTGTTGCTAGAGCTATTTTTGCTAGGGCTAGAACTAGAGCTATTTTTGCTAGAGTTATTTTCCAGGCGAATCAATCAAATACCAAGTCAACCAAAGCCAAACCAAGCCAAGAAAGCTAAATGTTTAGGAATTGCATAATTCTATTTAAACTTTTAGGCAATTGGTTGCTTTGACTTTGGCTTGGACTTCAATTTTAACGAAAAACCTTGCTTTTGTTGTTTTACTGATCAATTTTTATTAACTTAATCAAAACAAAAACCGTAAAACTCACCCATTGACTGATTCGTGGCTGTTCGCAGGGGTAAATGCCGATAACCGGGCCTCAAACACTTCACCGGTACCACACGTTGCGAGATGACGCGTCCATTTTGCCCGGCATCGCACACCTAAATATATATACTTTATTCGACAAATGTGATAAGTGATCAGCAAAATTTACACAGAATAGAAAAGAAAGAAAATAGTACTGACAATAAAGAAATTTAGAATGAAAAGTGGATAGAATGATAACTCAAAGTGGATAGAATGATAAAGAATGATAAACTCCCATAAACTGCTTCACGAGAAGAATTTCAATACGAAAAATAGCAATTAGGCAAGGAATTGCAAAAATAGGCAAGGAATTGCTCGTTTAAAAACGGGGAGAGATGATAAATTTCGAATGCTAATCATTAGGGAATTCAACGAGCAACACTAATCGATAATTTTGATACTAATAAAAGAATTACAATAACAGTAATTACAATAACATTACAATAACAGTACTAACAGTAAAATACAACTATTTCTACTTTCGTTAACAATAAATAGCGTAAAACGAACCGCAATTCGCAAAAACGCCAACTCGACGCAAACGATTCGGAAATTGAACTTGATGTTGCCAGACAGGAGTCACCTGAAACAAAGAAATAAATTCTTGGACTCAAAAATAAAAACAAATCATTGGAAATAAACTATTGGAGTTAAAAATAGAAAAAAAATGATATAGAAATCAACTATTAGACTCAAAAACTGGAAAAAATGATTGGAAATGAATTATTGGACTCATAAATAGAAAGAAATTATATAGAAATGAATTATTGCACTCAAAAACAGTCCATAATCATTTCCATTTTTGTTTCGTGAACAATTTTTAGTTTAAAAAATGAAAAGGTTTGCATAAAAAACCATGTTTACACTGAAATTTTGACACAAAGCTTTAGCATTTCAATGAATGCTAAAGATTGTGTCAAAATTTAAATGAAATTAACATTGTAAACCTTTTCCCTCAATCATTTTTTCCTCATTTCAACTCACCGAATTTTTCAGTACAGTCTTGCTTTTGTCTTTTGCTGAATCACAAAGCACTCCAATCAATTCGATTTCGAGAAACGGTGAACCCAAATGAGTGCCCGGAAAAACATGCTGTCCGGAAATCACCTGTAAAGTTATATTTTAGAATTCCCATTTTGAAAATTTCTTTCCTTTTCTCAATCTCTTTTTCCCTTTTTTGTTTTTGACCCCTTTTGTGAAGGAATTCTTGCGAAAGAGAGAGGAAAAGAGCCGCCTCGCCGCGACTACTCAGCGGGAAAAGAGCGGCCCTCACTCGTTGCTCGCGTAGCCTAATGGATAAGGCGTCTGACTTCTAATCAGAAGATTGCGGGTTCGAGTCCCGTCGTGAGCTGTCATTTTTTGCATTTTGCAAAAACGTTTGCGAACCTTTTGGTAATGATGGTTTAGTGTTTTTGAAGAAGATTTTGATAGTTTTTGGGTGATTTGAAGGAAACTATGAGGACTAATTATCAAATAGCAGAAAAAAGCGGTGTTTTCACTAGAAATTACGGAATAATGGGTTTTTCTTGGGTTTTCTTGTTGAAACAAGATTTTTTATTGATTAAGAGCACTAGAAAAATGAGGAAATTATGTAAATTTACCGTCAAATTCAGTAACAGAGCCGAATGTGTGCCCATTTCCTTGCTGGATGGATTGTAGCGGCGAAAGAGTGGATGAGTTTGATCCCATAAAACTCTCGGTTTTAACACGTAGCCACAATTGCCCGTTTGCTCAAACATTGCCGAATTTACAGCCATCACAATGTCAGAAGTCTAAAAAAATAAAATTACCAAAGAATACAGAATACAGAATCCAAAAAGAATCAAAAAAAAATAGATTTCAAAGCATATAACCATCAAAGTTTTTAGGTGAAATTGATATTTTTTTTTTGGTTTTCTTGAGAAATAGTAATTCTTATAAGTTCTTATAGTTTTATCTAATAGTTCTATCTAATCATAATTCATTTTTAAAGCCTTTTACTCACTTGAAAATTCAGCGCCACCATTTGCAAGCCGTGAGCCCAAAAATGAACGGGATTGAAGTTGGAGGAGTCGATGCGAATGGCACCAGGGTAGGTTCGAACGATCTGAAATCGATTAGAATTGGTATCACTATAATTTCTTTTACTACCATTTCTACTAATTTCTTTTACTTACATGATCTTTCGTGTATTGAATGCATTTGAGTGGATGCTTTCGGCAGAGTTTCCGGGCGGCTGTCTGAAAATCACCGTTGCTTAATTTGACTGATGACTTCTAATCCTTATCGCTTTACTAACTATTTCAATTTATTTTTTAAACGCATTTAAAAGCATTTAAACGCTTAGCTAGTGAACCAACTGACCTCATTGAGCGATGTCACTTGATAACAGCTAGCTGCCGAGTTGGGTCTTCCAGCAAGTTCATCTCGTAGTTCATGAGAAATCCCAGAGCCTTGGCTGAGATGACTGACATGGCTCACGTGGGACATTGCTTTTGGGCGGAAACTGAAATCTTATGTTCTTTTATCTGTTCTTTAATCTTCAATCACTCCCAACTTGGTCTTAAACACAAAAGTAATATGAAAAGTAATATGAAAAGTGAAAACAGTTAGGCAACGTTTGAGTTTCAGAAAGACTGGATAACTCTTTGAAGCTCTAGCTCTAGATCTAGATTACCCTCTAGGCGAGGTGGCTGGCATGAGATTGGACGAAGTTCTCGTTCTTGATGGTTGCAATGAGACACTTGTCGAGGCGCTGACATGAAGGATCTCTGTCGATTGAGAGAATGACGGGAAACCCTAAATATCCAATTTTCCAAGTCCACAATTTTACATAAACACTAAAGGGAATAGTTTTTCTAAAACAGAGGAATTATTTTTGCGAAACCTCGTAGTAATGATCAAGTGATCGACCCTAAAGAAGTGATTGACCCTAAGAGAAGCTATCTAGAAGAATGACGTTTCATTTAAACATTTCTACCTTGAATTTGATGGCTTGTAGATAGATGACAATGTCGGAGAGCTCGGGAGCAATGATTGGGCCGGCTGGTTGTTTTCTGGGGGATGGACGGGAGGAGAGAGTTGCCACTGTTTGCACTTCGTCTCCATCTCGGCCAGAGTCCAACGCAAGCTGAATATTTATGAAGATGCAGTAATATAACTTAGCATTAGTAAAAATAGAATTTGATAGCTTTTCTACTTCTACTTTTCAAGCTACTTCAAGCTTTCAAGCGACCTTTTCTACTTTTCAAGCTACTTCTTAAGCTTCGCTCAATCACAATTCAGCCAACAGTCAACTTTTTAATGAACATTCTAGTTTTGGGGCTGAATTTTGAATCCAAACCGTTGTTGTGATCACTTTTCTTCCCTCAGCCGAGTTATCGCTATTCTGTGAATCTTGCTTTGTGGCCACTTTCCCGCGTCGATTCGCCTGTTTTGGGGATTCGGTCTCGGAGCGGTCAACCACAACTGAAAAATGCACAGTTTTTACAAGATTACAAGGGAAAAGCATCAAGTCAAGCTGGCCTTTTAACTCAAGACCAAGTTCATCTTCTTGAGTCGGTCATGGGGATTTCGAAACCGTTTGTATTTTTTACAGAACGCTTCGCAATATTAGCATTTAGCAAAGAAAATCACGTTGAATTTGAGCACCTTATGAGGCCGTCACACGCTTCCTTAAGAACTGCTTTGATGGTCTAATGAATAGTCTGCTACTGCCGAGTCTGCTACTGCCGAACTTGCTAGATATTTGCCCTCAAGTTCGAGTCCTACTCTCGTCAAAATTTTTCTTTTTTTTGGAAAAATTGTTTCCTTACGTGTAAAAGCTGTTTTCTTATTGTTTCCTTATAATAGAATTGAATTTTATGCACAGCTTTCTGTAGCTTTCTGTAGAAAACTGTTTTCTTACTGTTTCCTTATTGTTTCCTTATAATAGAATTGAATTTTATGCACAGCTTTCTGTAGTTTTCAGAAATTTGGCAATGAATGTCAAATTTTTCAATACTTATCTAGTGATTCTGATACTTTAGATGGTTTCAGCTTTTATAAATTCTTTATTGAATTTACAGAAAGCAGTGTATAAAATTTGAGCCAACAATTTAATAAAGAAACAGTTTTTAAAAAAAGCTAAAAAGTTTGGCGAGAATAGGACTCGAAGTTGAGGGCAAAGAACGCTCTATTTCGGCTCTAGAAGGTTCGGCAGTCTATCAGACTATCCACTAGACCACAAAAAGCAGTTGTCAAGCAAACGTGTGACGACCTCGTAAGGAGCTCGAAATTCAAGGTGATTTTCTATACCAAATATCTTAGGAAACGTTCTGCAAAAATTGGTGACGTCATTTTTCTTTCAGGCTGACTTTTCTGACTCACATCGTCTTCCAACTTCTTTACAAATTAAAGGAAAAATATTGTTTAAGGTAAAAGAATTGAAATAAACATTCTTCAAAATCAAACTAATCAATCAACAAACTAAAAACGGGTTCGAAATCTCTATGGCCGACTCTATGACCGACTCGATAAGATGACCGACTCTATGGCCGACTCTATAAGATGGCCGACTCTATGGCCGACTCTATAAGATGGACTTCGAGTTAAAAGACGAGTCAAAAGGCCAGCCCAAAGACTTTATTAGATTTCTGACTAATTTTCAACCCAAACTTGAACCTACCTTCAGCATCATCATCCTCATTTTCTTCGTCATCCAAAAACTCATCGAGATCATCGTCATTGTCATCATCGAGAGTACTGTAAATTGTTTGTTTTTTAACCTTTTAAAGCAAAAAATGTTTTATTCGAATACAAACTATCTGCTCTCGTAGCTGTTCTTGCTTTGCTTTCGATGCAGGGGATTTTGTGGTTCACCGCGAAGATTTCGCTCGCTCAATAGCTGAGATGGCTCGGAAACCATTTTCTTATTCTAAAAATCATTATAGGTGAGAAAGTGATAAGAGAAAGTTATAATAATAATAGGTGCTGGTGCATTTTTCCCACCCCACAATTCTATATGCAAATTAGCCTTCTTGTGAATCAGTTTATTGACCTCTAAATACACGCATTGGGTCACCCGATGAACGAATTCATATATTAACTATGTGATTTTAAAATAAATGTCTGAAGATTTGTTTTTAAAATTATAAAGTCGAGTGGGAAAGATGCACAAGTATTTAATAATAATAAGATATCGTAAATACTGTAATAGTAACCCCATAATGACGGTGCGGAGTGTTGTGTAATCTAGTTTTGAACGAGTTTTTCTCGACACTGGTTTATGCTACAATGCGCGTTTAGGTATCAAAAAATAGCTGAAATTCAGGGCTATTTTTGATATCTAAACGAGCATTGTAGAATAAAGCAGCGCGGAGAACGGGATGTTTAAAGTTAGACTACGCAACAATCCCGAAAAAATGCGTTTTTCTCGACACCGGTTTATGCTACAAGGCGCGCTTAGGTATCAAAAAATAGCTGAAATTCAGGGCTATTTTTTGATACCAAAGACGCATTTTTTGAAAGTACGGGCGCTTTGAAAAAAATGAAATACTAAAAAACTTTTGCGACTACGCGACTGTACAAGGATCACAATTTGGAAAGTTTCAGTAAGGCAAATAATTTTTGATTGTCTATTGATGTCTAAGTTTATTCATAGACGAAATAACTTCGAAAAGGCAAATTGAAACTTTCATAACACTGAGATTCATCAGAGAGTTTCTAATGGTTAAATTTCAGTACGTAGACTACAAGACAAGGTGTCGTACAAGACTAGAACTAACTAGAGAACGTTGTCAAGCGAACAACGAACAACTAGTGAACTAAATATTATTATAGACCTCAATTTCCTTGTTCTAAATATGTACTATTAAAGTATTATTACAGGATTTACGGTAAGCGATAATAAAGAATCGGTTTGAAGTAAAATTTTCCATAAAAACGCCTTTTCTTTAAAGCTCATATTTCGTTTTTTTTTTATTTTAGGCAAAATTTTCTAAACTCAAAACAAAAAAAACTAAAATAAGAATGTTTATTTCAATTCTTTTACCTTAATCAATATCTTTCCTTTAAGTTGTAAAGGAGTTGGAAGACGAGGTGAGTCAGAAAAGTCAGCCTCAAAGAGAAATGACGTCACCAATTTGTCACCAAGAACTGTCTAAAAGATAATTTTTGAATGTTTCGTTCTTAAATCTTGTAAATTTTTAAAATCTTACTTTAAACATTTGCGCCATTTTTGCTTGTTGTTGTAAGGAGCAATGGTTCTCGATTGAGAGAATTACGGGAAGATCCGATGTGACAAAAGCAGATTTCTTGATGATTTCGACAACCTAAACAAATGTGATATCATAAATGATTCAAATAGATCAAAATGATCAAATAGATCAAATTATAGTCATTCCAACAAATTACTTGTCTAAAAGCGATTTTGCTGGTGAATGTGTGCCCGTGATAGATCAACGGGAGTCCATCATCTCCATCCCAGCAATCCAACTCAACGCAACGACAACCCGTCAAAAGAACCTGAAACTCGACTTATTGTCAGATAGAATTATTTTAAACTGTGCTAGACTTGGGCAGCTGGTCGGATCGGATCGGGTCGGGTCAAAAGTGACCCGCTGACCCGACCCGTGACCCGGCTTTGTTGGACTAATGCCAACTATCTTTTCTAAACTTCGATGAGTACAGTTACTGTACTTCAAAGAGTTCTGTTCTTTTATCTTCTATCTTTTATCTTTCTAACAAATCTTCAATTAAGAATTCTGTGATTGAACTGGAGATTCCTATTGACGTGCGGTTTTAAAAGGACTGACGCGAAAGCGGCGCTTTATAAGGCGTGGATGCACTACCGTACCCCGCACAAAAATTCCCCTTTTGCCATTCTTTTCATTTTCTTTTTTTCTCTCCCCTCATTCGTTTCTTTTTTATATTTTTTGCCCATAGTTTGTTGTTTAAACTTCTAATATGGTTTTATTTTGTCTTATTTTGTTTTATTTTGTTTTATTTTGGGGGTGGGACAAATGCGACCTTTTTTTTGCTGGAAAAGGCCTTAGGCAAGGTCGTAGAGCTTCGAAAATATTTCCATAGAATGAATCGTATGCGTAGATTCCGAATTTCGACAAATCAGACTTCGCTGACACGTCAAATTTGGGCTAAAAGGCAAAAACTACGCAACTTAACGCTTTTCCGCAGTTTTTGCCTTTTAGCCCAAATTTGACGTGTCAGCGAGGTCTGATTTGTCGAAATTCGGAATCTACGCATACGATTCATTCTATGGAAATATTTTCGAAGCTCTACGACCTTGCCTAAGGCCTTTTCCAGCAAAAAAAAGGTCGCATTTGTCCCACCCCCTTATTTTGTTTTATTTCCAGTTCTTTTTACTCAATTGTTTTGAATCATTTCATACATGCCGTTTAAACTTAACTTAACCAATTTCTTTTAACTTCAACGCAAATCTAAATAATCTGCCTTGGCGCGGTCTTTTTATTACTTTGTCTTTGGTTTTGTGGCAAATCATTGAAGAAAAGGGTTTAAGAAGTCTAAAGGTGTTAGGTAAAGGAGTTTTGTTACTAAATCCGGATGAAATTTCTTGTCATATCCCACCTGTCGATACATTTCCGCACTGCTTTCTCCTTTCAATTGGTGTCCAGTGAGATAAGTGTTATGTGATGAATTGACATAATAGTGAGACAACGGTTGACTCAAATCCGTCTCATCGGCTTTGCTCGTCTCGGGGACAAAGGCGAAATTGCAAGGATCGGAGAGGAAACGAGTGAAGCCCTAGAAAAAGCTTTGATAGCTAATTTTGAGGCTAAATTTTGGCTCTAATTGTTAGCTCTAATTGTTAAATCAGTTTAAATTTGAAAAACTTAAACACTTACCTCAAACGAGAGCTGATTCTTTTGACGAAAGATGGCATCTGGTTCGTGATCCTAAATTTAGGTGTCATTTTTGATCTTAAACCTTTCTAACTTTAAATTTTTGTTATTTTAATATATCTTTTTTGAATTTTCTCTAAAATGTTTTCTTGTTTTCCAGTGAAAAATTTCGCGGGAGCTCGAAAAAAAAGAGGATTTGTGCATTTGAAATGTTCGACGGAGAATGAAAAAAATGGGGGTTTCATTGGAAAAGCGAATTTTGTTTTTGTTCTTTGTTCTTTGTTTTATTTTTTGATAGAAGGAGTATTTGTAGGTTTTTTTCCTTTCTTTTTGTTTCTTTTTGTTTCTTTTTGTTTGTATATATTTGTTTTTTAAAAATAAATTCGTTTAGAAACAATTTAAAGCCTTTGACTTTAGAACTTGACTTTTGTCGCTTTAAAACTGACAATTGGAAAGGTTAAAACTGATAGTTGGAAAGCGCAATGTTTCCCAAAAGCAAATGAGTCGTTTTCCGGAGTTTATAGATATCTTTTATGCGTTTTTATAGAGGTATAATAAGTCTATAACTGTCTATAACTGTCTATAACTAGAAAAGAAAAGATCTTGTAAGTAAAATTTCGAATTTCATGAATTCTTGTTGTTTTTAATCGAAATTTCACTCGAACTCTGTTCTACTTTCGTTGAAATTTTTCTGAATCCTCTTAAACTTTAATAAAACTTTTGTTTACAAAAATAACCGCTCAAGCTTTTCGTAAAGTCAGATTTATTTACTCGTGACCTTTCTCGAATGAATTGTGGATATTTTTGGATATTTTCGTCCCACAGAAATCCGCCTTATTTGTTGCAACAAAACGAGGCGATTAATCTCAAAATGTCGTGTGACGGAGAAATTTGTTTCCTTTTTCAGGTGAAAAGAAAGGCGCTTTTTGATCACCTTTTCCGAAAATAAGCCGGTGAATACATTTTCAAAAATGTCGAAGTTTCAGATATTGATTTCTGTCAACAGTTTTATCAAAAACTTTTTCCGAAATTCATTTCTGACTTAATACTGAAAATTTTGACTTTGAATTTGGATTTAAAATTGAAAGCGCATTAGATCTATTAGGTTGAAAGCTATAAAATAAAGAATTAGGTCGATATTTTTGATTTTATGTTACAATAACCAAATGAATTACGAAATTACCCGAATTAAAAGTGCTAATTTGAACTATCGATCGAATCTCTTCTTTACGACCTAATTAAGAGATTCTTAATTCAGAAACATCAGAAATGGCATTCAGAAATGGCAATTTAGCGAAATCGGCTTGAACTAGCGATCGAATCTCTTCTTAACGTCCTAATAAAGAGATTCTTAATTCAGAAACATTAGAAATGGCATTCAGAAATGGCACTTTAGCGAAATCGAATTTTGAGCGAAAATTTTGATTTCAATTCCCTGAATCTTCAGAAAATTGAACTTTAACAGTGCTCGAATTGTTTTTAAAAGTACCACTTGAAACTCTCCGAAATCTTAACAAAATCTGATTTGCTAAAACGGGAAATTTGGGTTTGGCTCAAATGGAAATGGCTCAAAAATGAGCTGGATAAAGTTGGCGAGTTTTCCCTTGATTCATCTAACTCTTGAAATTTCGTGGAAGCGGGATGAAATTCTATGGTTCGAGCAAAGGCATGAAGCTTGCTGAACAGGCCCTTGTGAACCATATTGGAACCGTATCCGAACCATATTGGAACCATATTGGCACCGTATTGGAACCCCACTGGATTGGAACATCCAGAAATATGGAACCCCACTTGGGCCTGGCCAGAAGCAACTGACTTCCTCGGACCTCTATGGTTATTTTTCACTTATTTTCCTCCCTTACTTTGCTCGATCTCATCTAGCTTCATAGAAAACCCGACAATTCTAAGCTAAATGAACTAGCTTTCTATTTGGGTTGTCATTTGGCGAAAGTAAAATTCGGTACTGGCAATTTTCCAAGTTTTTTGTCCCTAAGATTTCCCCAGCTTTCTTAAAGCAATTTGAATTAAAGCTTCTTAAAGCTAAAAGATTAGCAAAAAGAATTTCCGTTATTTTCTCCACAAAATTTGCATTTAAAATTTTGCCTGCATCTCACAAAGTTTCAGTTTAAAAAGGAACACAAAAATACATAAAATTAAGCCGATTTTTTGGGGATTTCATTTCAGCATCATTTCGTTTAGAATCCATTTAAACGCGAGGATTTATCGCAAGTGATACAGAGGTTTTTCCCGTTTTTTAAACGTAAATTTTGTGAAACTTTAGCGCAAATGTACTGAATTTCCCTGAAATCTCGTTTTTTTTTCTTTTAGAATAATTTAGATCAAAATTTGCTAATGAATAATTGTTTTCAAACGATTACCAATTTCCCCACACGTACGCAAAGCACTTTTCACATCAATTCTCATCATCAATTCCCTCAACCACTTAAATTATCATCTAAATTTCTTTCCAACTTTCCCAGTACGGGGGATTGCATAAATCCGGAAAGATTTCCAATTTCCCTCAAATATTTCCCTCAAAATGATGATCCCAAAGCTTTCAATATATCTCTTCTCAGTTTTTTTTTCACTTTTTCACATTTTCTTGTCGGAGAATTCTTCATTAGAGAACCCTTAGGGTCTCCCAGGACCTGGATCGGCCCTTCAACGAGAAAAGAACACAAATATCAGCCTTTTCTTTTCTCATTTTTCAACTAAAGCATTGAATTTCTTCTTTTCGTGAAAGTTTTCCTTTTTTTCTTTTTTTCATTAGGTATTTTTGAAACTAGAACGTTCGTTCTGAAATTTTTTGCCTCTAAAGTGTGCTACCGTAACTCTCGACATATTACTAGACATACCGTAAATACTGTAATAGTACCCCACCCGCATAATGAGGGTGCGGAGCGCTGCGTAGTCTAGCTTTGGACGCGTTTTTCTCGACACTGGTTTATGCTACAATGTGCGCTTAGGTATCAAAAAATAGCCCTGAATTTCAGCTATTTTTTGATACCTAAACGAGCATTGTAGCATAAACCAGTGTCGAGAAAAACTCGTTCAAAGCGAGACTACGCAGCGCTCCGCACCGTCATTATGCGGGTGGGGTACTATTACAGTATTTACGGTGTGCATTTTCAGTCAATTCATCTATCAGCAAAAATTCTTCATATCTTGAGCCCTTTTAAAATCCTTTTTTCAAACGTTTTCATTAGATAAAACTTTTAAAACATTAGTTTTTCCCCCGTTGAATAGCTCGAATTTTAAAGGGCTTAAGACGTTCATTTTCGTCGTACACCTATTGACGAATGGACCGAAAATGCAAATGTCTACAGATTACTGTAATTTGTAGATAGAAAATCAAAGAAAATCAATCGAGATTTATAAAGATTAAAAGATAAAGACCTAGGATGGATTACATCACAAAAAGCTGATTTTAAAAACTTCCTTGTCTACCAAAATTCAAATTTGAATCGTTTAGTCACCAAAAAGGCTGATTATTTATAAAAACCGATATTTCTTCTTGATAATCTCTTGTTTATTCTGAATCTGCTTGCCCATCAGCCCCAATTAGTCACGTTACAATAAACCGTGAAGTTATTACTGTAGCTGAAAGATAACCGTAAGCCAATGTAGAGATGGGAAAACGAATAAGATTATGATAAGATTCAACCGTTACGGTTGAACCGTCAACCGTAACTGCGGCACGCTACAACTACAGTTAAAACGCTTTAGGTTGTAGAATTCTTGCCCTTTTTCAACTAACCCCGATAATCCCGTTTCCCTTTTCTAAACTTTACATATAAATCTTGCCTAAACCCACCCATTAAGCATAGCTTTTGGTGGAATTGCCCTGTCTAAAGCCATCTTTAAGCATTCCCCTTTTCTTTTCATACTCTATCCTTTTTCATACTCATACTCATTCTTTATTTTTGAAAAAATCCATGACTTTGTTTGCAAGCAGCAAAAAAAAAAGCTAGTTATTGTATATTTGATACGCGCCCACCTCTTTGCCATTGGTGATCGAACTTTAAGCTTCAATATCTTGGTGTTGGGCAGTCTAATTTAAATATTCTTGATATCATTAGATGCTCCAAGTCTTTCTCTATCGATTAATACAAAAACGATTCAAATTGGATGCCCCACAACAAGATATTTGGGTTCAAAGTTGAATTGCCAATGGCAAAGGGGGCGGGGAGCGTATCTAAGCCCCTAAGCCCCGCCCCATTGCCATTTCTTCTGCATAAGCCTCAAAAATTAGCCAGAAAATGCCATAGTTCTGTCATAGTCCAAGTCAAAGTAAAGAGCCAAAGCCAAAGCCCCAAAGCCAAACCATACATACCGCGCCCCATTGCCATTGTCAATCCAACTTTGAACTCAAATATCTTGGCGTTGGAATGTTCAATTTAAATAGTTTTTGTACCAATCGATAGAGAAAGGCTTGGCGCATCCAATGATATTAAAAATATTGAAATTGAACGGCTCAACACCGAGAAATTTGAGCTCAAAGTTGAATTGCCAATGGCAAAGGGACAGGCTCAGGCTCAGGCTCAGGCTCAGGCTCAGGCTCAGGCTCAGGCTCAGGCTCAGGCTCAGGCTCAGGCTCAGGCTCCACATATCAATGGACACATTTCAAGTGTCCCACAATCAAAAAAGCGACGATCATTTTTTAAAAATATCTAATTTTGCAAATTTTAATTACAAAGGTGAATTGGATATTTTAAAAATTGCCAATTGTTAATACAAATTATACGTTTTCTTCCTAACAATTGTAGCTACAAATTATGCTTTTTTTTCGTAGATAATTAGTGGATATTTCTGATGGTATTGCAACAAAAGGGAAACTTTCGAATTTGTTCTTTTGATTACTTCAGGAATGATAATGTTCAACATAAATTCGACTTTCGAGCTTTAGGGATTCAAAAGAAAAGCTAACAAAGCTTAGAAGTCAACTCAGAGAGCTTCAAAAGCTTAGAAGTCAACTCAGAGAGCTTTAAAAGCTTAGAGGTCAACTCAGAGAGCTTTAACGCTGGAAGTCAACTCAGAGAGCTTTAAACGCTTAG